TTTATCCCCGAAGGGGTACGCAGAGGTGCACATTTCGGCACTTAATGCCACTGTACAATGTAACACCCACTTTTCACTATTTATGTTATGAGTCCCATGTAATAGGGGGTGAGCCTATTGCCATATATACCGGGCACATTTTTCCAGACTCCGTGCTACTACTGAGGTTTTAAAAACCCAGTAATACTTTGCCCGACCCGGGAATCGAACCCGAGACCACTTGCCCGGCAGTCGCACTTGCGACCACTTGGCCAATGAGGCAGGCGTTTACCGGCTTATACCATAAAAAAGTTATTCCTGTTCCTGGGACGCGCCGGACTTCAGTGTTCCGGAGTTTTCATGGTTTTTTTTTTTAATATTACATTTCTTATTCTCCACGGACTCTTGTCCGTGCCCTTGTCATAGTTATTTTTCATGGTTTTCATGTTTTCATGGTTGTATCTATTGTAGATCCTGGCTTACAGGAGTTGCAGCGGTTTTGGGAGGTGTATAAAAAAACTTCTGTGTTGTGAACTTTCTTTGGAAAAATGTAAGCAAAATAGGTACCGGTTCCAGAGTCATTGGTACGAGTTTATTTTACGTTTAAAGTAATTGTAACGAGATGGCGTCTGGCGCTCTGATTGGTTGGTTCATTGGAGCCGGCCAATCACAGTGCCGTAACTGTCGTGGTGGCCCGGAGGTTTAAGACGCCCACTTCTCATGCATGAGGGTGCGGGTTCGAAACCTACCAACGGCAAGTACCAATGTGACTATTTCCGAGTTATATGTACTTTCTAAAATTATTTAGACACCACTGACAAACGGTGAAGGAAAAACATCGTGAGGAAACCTGGACTAATAATTTCTAATTATAAGTTTGAAATCGCCAACCCGCATTTAGCAAGCGTGGGGATTAATGCTCTAACCTTCTCCGTGTGAGAAGAGGCTTTGCTCAGCAGTGGGCATTTATAGGCTGTTGATGTATGTATGTAATCACAGTGCCGAACGTGTACTCATTTCGATTACTTTCAAAAAGAAACTCAAACTAAAGCCTCAGGATTTTAATCGAACGTATTGTCACTGCGGAGCGCCAAAAATCCGTACCGAAGCTATTAAAGTCGTTTTACCCTATATTTGTCCAGTTCACATTTTGTAGGTACTTAAGGCCCGGCCACACATCAATCTATACAAAACCAGTTTATCCTGGTGTCGCGTCGCATCATCTTTCCGCACATTTAACGTTCAGTTTATACTGGTTATGTAAAGCTCGATGTGTAGCCGTGTGTACATGCATATTTCATTTTAACTCTTTGAGTACCGTCATTATAGACACAATTAAAGAACAATAGGTTGCGGTCACCGGTATCCTCGCGGTGTTTGACAGTTTAAGTTACAAATCATTATTTTCTATGTCTATTTCTGGCTATTTATTTATTTATGACTGCCTCGTTGCGCAAGTGCGGCTGCCGGGGCAAGGGGTCTCGGGTTCAATTCCCGGGTCGGCCAAAGTATTACTGGGTTTTTAAAAAATCTCAGTAGTAGTACGGAGTCTGGAATTGTGCCCAGTATATGGCAATTGGCTCACCCCCTATTACATGGGACTCATAACATAAATAGTGAAAAGTGGGTGTTACATTGAACAGTGGCGTAATGTGCACCTCTGCCTACCCCTTCGGGGATAAAAGGCGTGATGTTATATTTTGTGTGTGTTATTTATTTATTTCATTTTATTTTCAGCCGTGATCGTCCAAATCGATGATTTGTTATAGTCTCTTTAAATTTAAGTTAGTTTTTTCCTCTTCCTTTATAATCCTAGTTATAAATGGATAATACCATTTGACATGTTTTCTAAAGTGTTTACGGAAAATCTATGTTTTACTTACGTATGTCGTCACGTCTATTATTGCTCTGGTGTTAGACAAAGCAAAAATTCCCGCGTTCAACTAAACTATCAAAAATGTTATTTTTGGATGTTGGTTTCGTTTATATATTACTTTACCCGCGGCTTCGCTCGCGTCACAAAAGGATAAAAAGTAGCCTATGTGACATGTACCAATACACACAGCGCCATCTATACCAATACTTTTGTTTTCCCTCGGGAATATCAAATGACAATGACCAAATTTGTATGGAGCTTGGTGCCTTTTAATTTTTTCGCGGCAGTTGATCGGATGTAGAAAATCTGATGCAGAATAACATTAAAAACAAATAAATATATGGGGTCTTATATAAAAAACACAATCCAAACCGAGTTAAATCAGTTCAAAGATGTGAAAATGGTGCTATATTATTCCTGTTATTTTGTTGCTGGTGACGGTACACAACGCATATTTCTTCATTTACTTGTCAGAAATATTTTGTAATAATTATTTATAAACGATTTCAAGGAATATAATAAAGCTTGTTGTGGATTGTTTTACTTATTTTTTTTTTTCTTATAAGGCCACGGTATCAGAACAGAGTAAATCAATAACTGGCCACTGCTGAAGTAAAAAAATATTTCTCTTGATTGGCTAGCGTGTTCACTTTATATGTATACGGTTTATGGCCTATGACATATTTTCATGATGAATTTCCTCTCAGTCGAAAAATACTTTTCTGAGCCCTATTATGAAATGCTATGTTTGTCAGCTGCGGCGGCGTCGGTAGCGGATTGAGTAGCGGCTGTCGTCAAAACATGAAAAAAAAAACATTTTTTTGTCTAATTCTCCCGAGTTACTTCCGATTAGTAACTAATCTAGCTACGTTAATTCTTTAATCTACAGCTAGCATAACATTCTGTACAAAGATATCGTCATTCAGTCACAAAATGATGAATTATATTTCAACTGATCACATTATATGAAAAAATTATGCGCTCATCTGACGTATAGTCCATCACTTTATAAAGTCGACGGTTTCCTTTCTTCAAAAGATTCTGCTAACTATAAAATAGACAAGTCTCCCACCAGGAGTCAACGGCAAAAAAATAATATTTAATTAGATGTTTGGACGGCTACCAGTACTCAACCCACCACTGGTACCATAGCTGACGCTCATGAAGCTTCATGACACAACTCCTAGAAGCATCATACAAGTTATCGACTGAGAGAAAATAGGTAATAAAAATTAGTACCTGACAATATGGATATATTGTGGTGTGATATAGTGTTCCTGTGCGCGGCGTACAGTGGCTCGCAATTTGAAGTTAGGAATTGTGACAAAAATATGAATAATTTGAATAAAAAAACCAAAGTAAAATGTTTGACTCCAGCTCCAGACTGAGTTATGAACGTAGAGTTATGAGCGTAGAGCTCATAACTCAGTCCAGACTGAGATTTCCATATATGAGCCCATAGACAATATCGTTAGTAATGTGATTCTAGATAATATTTTCCATAAATCATCGACTGCCGCCAGAAAAACGAAAGGCACCAATTTTAGTCAATGCCCTTTAAAAAGGTTAAAAAGTACTCTATTATTTAATCCGGACTTTTAACTTTACTGTCAAAGCAATCGGTTCAGTAGTTACGGCGTGATAGTGGAACAAACAAACAAACTCATTTTCCCATTTATAATATTAGTAAGGATTTTGCCACTACCTTTTATCTATAGCAGTCAATATCTAAGAAGTCGTGGTGGCCCGGAGGTTTAAGAACGCCCACTTCTCATTCATGAGGGTACGGATTCGAAACCTATTAACAGCAAGTACCAATGTGACTTTTTACGAGTTATATGTACTTTCTAAGATTATTCAGACACCACTGACAAACGGTGAAGGAAAACATTGTGAGGAAACCTAGGCTTATAAATTTCTAATTATAAGTTGGAAATCACCAACCCGCATTGAGCAAGCGTGGTGATTAATGCTCAAACTTTCTCCGTGAGAGAAGAGGCTTTGCTCAGCAGTGGGCATTTATAGGCTGTTGATGATGATGATGATGATGAGTAAATATCTGTGTAGGGGTTTTGATTATCAAATGACTTCTCCCGCCTTGGGTTGACGAGAGGGAGTGTCAAACTCTTACTAAATAAAAACCACCCTGTTCCTACTCCTGCTCTTCGAACCGAAGCCCCGGCAACCCGCGGCCTTCCACGGCTTCGTATCGGGCACTAAGTACAGAAATTACCGTTTCCGCGATCGTTAAAATTATTATCTTTATATATATATAATTTTGCTGTACGTGTGTATGTCATTGAACTCCTAAACGGCTTGACCGATTCAAATGAATGTTTCTGGTTGCGTTTGAGTGGCGCCCTGGATGGTTTAGATTCACAAATCAGCCCGGCAGATGGCGCTGCAGTCGGTTTCTATGTTATTTATCTATACCTATTATTATTACATTATATGCAGGACAACGTCTGTCGGGTCCGCTAGTACATATATGTAAATTTATGTACAAGAATTGCACGTTAAAAGGTATTAGATTTTGACGTGCAAAATAGTACCTATAATTTAGGTCATTTAAGGATCGTGAAGTATGTTCAGATTATGATAGGTCTGGCATGGTCTTGCTGTGACTAGAAGACCCTAAATCAATCAAGTTAAAAGAAATGAAAGAATTAAACTTAAGTGTGGGAGAGGCATGCTTCGGCACGAATGGGCCGGCTCGACCGGAGTGATACCACGGCCGAGCAGAACACCGACGTGAAGCAACGCTTGCGTTGTGTTTCGTTCGTGTGAGTGAGATTACCGGAGGCCCGATTACCCTCCCCTTCCCCAATTTTCCCAATTCCTGAATCCCCAACGATCCTCAAACTCCTAATCCTCAAAAGGCCGGTAACGCACTTGTAACGGCTCTGGTGTTCCAGGTGTCCATGGGCGACGCCGATTGCTTACCATCAGTTGATCCGTCTGCCCGTTTACCGGCTTGTCCCATAAAAAAAAGAAATCGTGAAATATGGTCAGATTATGATAGGTCTGGCATGGTCTTTCTGTGACCAGAAGACCCTAAATCAATCGAGTTAAAAGAAATGAAAGAATTAACTTTAGTATAGTGCCATTTTGTTGCTTTATTTATAATTTATCTTTTCTTTGTCCCCAGTGTGATGTTGGCATGGCAAACGTTCAACGCTCTCTTCGTGATCCGAGCTGTCAGCAAATATCTGGTTGAAATGGTACCCGAGTATGAGCTCTGCAGACATCTGGACTTCCAGGCTGAACGGAGAGTGGGCAATGGACCTGTGGACTCCAGGGAGGATAACACGGTGAGTTGATCCATTATGTCATTTTTTGTCAAGCCAATCGTCAAAATTATTTATTTCAATTAGACCAGAAAGGCACTTTTGAACGTCAAAACAAAATATTGAAATATTAGAACAAAATCCGTCTTTCGGTCAATCCTCTACTGAAGCTATTTGCTCGTTCCAAAGTGTAGATCCTATGGAGAAGAACAAACAAGAAACTCCATAGGTTACTCTTTTTCAATCAGGTTTACAATACAATTCTTGGTTACATAGTTTCGTTGAGTTTAATTATGTGAGTGTGCGGCCGAACAAGCCACCAATTAAACATCAGCAATATAAATTAATTATGGAGATTCAATGTTAACTAAATAAAATCGCGGGTTTCTCACGTGGATGTACTGAGAAAAGCTCTACTAGTTTCGAATCACAGAGGGGGTTCTTTCTCGTGAGCAGCGTGCGCGGTCGCGGCGACGTCGCTGAACTCACTGGCTGGCGTTGGCGCTCGCATCAATGTTGCTACTTGAGATTTAATGTTTTACTTACTTATGTTGTCACGTCTATTATTCCTTATGGAGGCTTACAACCATTTATCATATTTGTTTAACTTTCATGTATCCAAACCAAGGTAATCCTAACACGTTTGACCTCCCAGCCATCACAAGAGACCTCCCCCTCACCGCTGGCTTCCCCAGCGACCCCAGAAGTCCAAGAGGCTCCCGTCTCTCCCAAATTGGCGGGGACTGAGAGCCGGGTGGAGATGCTTATCGATGCGTTAATCGGCCTCATCATTGATGTTCCTGTTACGTGAGTATTTGTTTTAAATACCTTAATAAAACAGAATACTGTCTCATTGGCCGCAAGTGCGACTGTCGGGCAAGGGGCCTCGGGCTCGATTCCCGGGTCGGGCAAAGTATTACTGGGTTTTTCATTAAATTCACAGTAGTAGCACGGAGTCTGGAATTGTGCCCCGTATATGGCAATAGGCCCACCCCATACTACATGGGACTCATAACATAAATAGTGAAAAAGTGGGTGTTACATTGTACAGTGGCATAATGTACACTTCTGCCTACCCCTTCGGGATAAAAGGCGTGATGTTATGTTATGTCAATAAAACAGAAAAAAGTAAACAAATAAAAAAAATAGTGATATTATTGCACTTTAAAACGTTCAAGTTTATCATAGGTTTCAGGTTTTTCTTTTTTTTAATTACATTTGTTTAATAAATATTTTTTCTTATTGCGACCCCTAGCATACGCGAAGGTTGTAAATAAAACCGGGGCGGAGAAACGTGAGGAGTTGCGTGGCTCCGGCTCGAAGCAGTAGTTCGAATAGGGTGGTATTTACACCGTAAAAGTCTGACATTCCCTCTCGCTTCATCTAGGGCTTTTTTTAAGGGGGGAAATTCATCGAATGACTGCTCTTCGCCTGGGTGAGGCGAGAGGGAGTGTCAGACTCTTACTGACTAAAAACCACCCCGTTCCTTCTCCTGCACGTCGAGCCGGAGCCCCGGTAACGTAAGGTTCTCCGAAGGCTGTAGGAGTCTTTCGATAACTTTTCCCCTCAAAAAATATAGTTTATATGAAGCTTGTCCCAACATTAATATGGATTTATTATCCTCAGGGACAACACATACTACCTTCATTTGGAGTGCATCAATACTATGTTGGTGCTCATGTCTGTTTACATGTTTGCCGGCGTGCATGGACAGACGCGGTTGGTCGACACGTCTCTTATATACAGGTAACGAAAATATGTTACTATACTCGGAATTTTAATTCGATTCCAGATTTGACAATTTCAGTGTTGCAACGTTATGACAAGTACTAAATAGTGACGTTGCGAAATTATTCGATATGGAAATGCAATATTTCTGGATCGATTCTTCTCGTTTATAATTTTACTCTCGTAAAATAAGTATATCAGGAAATTAAAAATTTCTGAACCGATAATTTAGTTTTGACAATTAATTAACGATCTGAGACATTTCTTTTATAATTAATTGTGTGTGAAATAAATAAAAAAATGTAATCATGAAGGAACATGAATAAAACACATAGATGTATTATGGCAATAAGTTATTTTATAAATTGTCGCCGTCATCGCTATCGCTATCCTGTCACTTTCTGTAACATTTATTATAAAACACACACACCGATTGTTTATCGATTTTTGTGTGCATCACTACACTATTATATGTGGTATCATTATTTCACAAAATGACAGTAGCTATTGTCAAATCTGGAATCTAATTAAAATTCTGACTATAGATGGCAGTGGCGTGCACAGGTTTTCGAGACAGGGTAGGCAACTAAGTATCGTATGATCAAACCCCTCCCCCTCCCCCCGTCATACAATCATGCTCACACAAGACAGGTACATGTACATAATACATTTCGAAAAGTGCGTTTAAGAATATTGTGGTTTATTCTTTCGCCAAATTACATACACTGACATCTTGCGTATTTTTTGTGAAGTACTTCATCAGCTATCGAATAAGCCACCAAAACTTATAAATAATGGATCTATTTATTACACTAATAATGAAGCATAAAGGACAATGACAGGTGCTCAGTACATCTTTGACCCACTATATTAGAAGTCATGTAGAGGTACAAGCATGCAGTATTCAGCATCGTGTTGTGTATTAATTACCGATAGGTAAACATTTGTAACCTGTAAAAATTGCGGTTTTTCCTAAGTCCAGTCCAGCAGAGGATGGAAACCGACTGAATTATTATCCTTACTAATCTATATACTTATAATAAATCTGTAGAGAGGTCAATTCTGTACATAAAATATATTTAAGAAATAACTATCAAGGGGTGGTTAGGGATCGCTACTGATGCCAAAAATGCAATCAGTAAAATTTTTGTCTGTCTGTCTGTCTGTCTGTCTGTATGTTCGTTATGGAAACAAAAACTACTTGACGGATTTTAACGAAATTTGGCACAATTATTCTTCATACTCCTGGGCAGGTTATAGTATACTTTTCATTGCGCTACGATCAATAGGAGCAGAGCAGTAAAGGGAAATATTGGAAAAACGGGAGAAGTTACTCCATTTTTTAAGCTTCCGTCACGTGTGCAGGCTTATAGGTTAAAGCTACATAGAAATCATGTATGACGGAAATATTCTCCTTAAAATTATATAACAAATATTCCTCGACAGCATATGTCTATCTTTTATGGTTGACTCACAATAACACGTGAAACTCCCGATAGCCAAGCAATTCGGTGATTTCTGATTGTATTTGTCTACTCTAACGTTTACAATACTCATTCATAGACTTTACGCTGTAACTGAAAGGCCAATGGTTGAAATTAGCTTGACTCGATATTATAAATGAAAATATGTGAGTTTATGTGTATGTTTGTTACTCAGTCATATTAAAACGAATGAAGGGACCGGAATGAAATTCGGAACAGAGGTAGATTATGGTCTGAAGCGAAGCCGGAAGCGAAGCCGCTGGCAGAAGCTAGTGTATAATATAAATATAATATTATAGTTCGGAAAGTGAGTTTGTTTGTTTGTTCCGACTTCACGCCGTAACTACTAAACCGATTGCATTGAATTTTTGCAGACGTAAAGTTAGTAGTCTGGATTAAATAATAGGGTACTTTTTATCCCGAAAAAATTTGATATTCCCGAGGGAAAACAAAAGTATTGGTATAGATGGCGCTGTATGTATTGGTATATGTCACATATGCTACTTTTTACTCTTTTGTGTCGCGATCGCGAGCGAAGCCGCGGGTAAATGCTAGTAAAAAATAACTGATAATTTCGCTTTCTTTTTGCAGAACCCTTTTCCAAGGTCGCTACGGCATGCACGCTCCGCTTCTAGTGAAGACGTTACTGAACAACTTGTCGAGCATGCTGGCAGCGCCTCCGAGCATGTTCGGAGCTCACGCCGGCGGGGGGAGCCTGCTCATCAACTTGGCTTGTGAGTATCATAAGAGAATGAGATAGAACGAGATTGTGTGTGTGTGTGCGTGTGTGTGTGTGTGTGTGTGCGTGTGCGTGTGTGTGTGTGTGTGTGTGTGTGTGTGTGAGAAAGAGAGAGATAGATGATAGAGATATTCGGTACATTTTTTGTCATAATTTACTAAATAAATGTGAAGTCGGCTCACCTGATGGTAAGCAATCGGCGCCATACTCTCTAGGAGGTAGTCATCCAGTGACTTCTCCCGCCTTGGGTTAGGCGAGAGGGAGTTCAGTCAGACTCTTACTGACTGAAAACCACCCCGTCCCTACTCCTGCTCTTCGAGCCGGAACCCGTTAGGCCTTCCGCGGCTCCGTATCGGACATCAGCTCTACTGGGCCCCATCCGCGGTGTCTGGTGGCTCCTTGAGGCGCGCGTGGAACGTGACGCGCCGTACGCTCGGGTCTGGTTTTAGTCGGGCTGGGAGCTACCCTTGCTCGCCGTCCGCAGACCCGCACTTACGGTGGTCGGAGATCGTCGCGCAATCTCCGACGCCAGGAGTGTCTCCCACGGTAGCTGGGGTGTGAGGAGGTTCGTTCCCTCACGCGCTCCGCCTACTCCTTGTCGGCGCCATCCTTGAATACAACATTTGGAAAGTTATCCGTGTATTGCCGGCCTATTTAAATATTTGAGACTGAACTTCAAGAAAAAAATCACCTGGGCCTTTAGCCAAACGCCACTTTAGCGCTTGTCTACAGAGAGAGTAGAAATTAAAATGTATGGGGATGACATTGACAAGTGTCATAATTTACGTCAGTTCTATATAATTTGGTTTTCTATTCTACATAACGTTATCCAGCGTTGGAAAAACAAACCCTCAGGGCCGATTCAACCAACAGAAAATTCTTAACTATAGAATAAAATTGACATTTAACTGTTTTTAGTATGGAAAAATTGGGTATGTACCTTAATCAAAAATAAATTATTTCGACTGTTCAATACAATAAAATATTAAAAAATACTCACACTTTCATTTATTGATTTTATGACCAACTTAATGTTAGTATTTTTCCAGCAAATGTTTATGAAATAGGTATGGATACTACAAAAGCGTTAACTCTCGTACAAAATTCATAGAAGTCAAAAAAGTATTAATAAAGACTAGTTGGCGAGTACCCTATTGTCAAATATTTAAAATTATTCCGCAAATATTATGAAATGTATAATAATACTATTGACAGAGCATGACCCTATAGTTTTAATTTAATGACTATTGTAATATTACTAGACTACCGCCCTGAGGACACGGTGGACCGCCCTGAGGACACGGTGGAACACACGGTGGGAGAATGCCCTTCGTGGGCTGAGCACCGCCGTGTCCTCAGGGAAGTGATCGGCGATGGCGACCTCTCGCGTCCGGGCCTAGTGCAGGCCATGATGCGGAGCGAGGGGGATTGGGATGCCGTCTCCTCCTTTTGCGAAGCAGTCATGCTAGCTAAGGAGGAGGCGGGACGCGTGAGGCAGCGAAGCGCTGCCTCCTCGCAACCCAGCCATCGCGAAGGACACACCGGGCGTCGGGGATCGCGGGACGATCTCCGGCCACCGTAAGCGCGGGCCTGCGGACGGCGAGCATGGGTGGCTCCCCGTCCGACCAGAAACAGACCCGAGCGTACGGCGCGTCGCGTTCCGCGCGCGCCTCAAAGAGCCATCAGACCACCACAGATGGGGTCCAATAGGGCCGATGCCGATTCGGAGTCGCGGAGAACCTAACGGGTAACCGGGGCTCCAGCTCGACGTGCAGGAGAAGGAACGGGGTGGTTTTTAGTCAGTAAGAGTCTGACACTCCCTCCCGCCTCACCCAGGCGGGGGCAGTCATTCGATGATTTTCCCCCCTTAAAAAAAAAAAAAAAAAAATATTACTAGACTATTTATAGATCTGACTATTGAAATATTTATACACTTAATAAATGGTAAATTAATTTAATACATTTGTACGCCGGTGATGGCAAGACATAGCTGGTCAATATAAAGCATGTAACACCTTTTGTAACATAACATCACGCGTTTTTATCCCCGAAGAGGTAGACAGAGGTGCATATTATACGGCACTTAATGCCTCTGTACAATGTAACATCCACTTTTTACTATTTATGTTACGAGTCCCATGTAATAGGGGGTGAGCCTATTGCCATATACCGGGCACATTTCCAGACTCCGTCCTACTACTGACATATTTTGTAACCTATGATCTACAAATAAAGTAATTTGAATTTAGATAAAGTTATCTGACATTGGATAAATGTCTATATACATAAAAATGAAACCCGTTTTCCGTTGTCACGCCATAACTTGAGAACGGGTAGACCGATTTGGCTGATCTTTTTCTCGATTGTCAGGAAAAGGTTCTTAAGGCATAAAAATCCTGAAAATCTTACGGGAACTGGAGAAAACAGTATTGCGCGAACAAAGTCGCGGGCAGAAACTAGTAGGTAATAAAATTAAATAAAAACAAAACAAAGATATATTTTGTTTTCCGTAACTGGTGAAAAAACCCACAAAATAAATGTACAGTTGTTTACCATGCTGAAACAATCGAAAGATTCGGCGCGTTCAATAAACAGTACTATGTAAACATGTTTTTGTAATTGGATGACAAATCATTGATTGCTGAGGAAAAATTGCTTTTAAGACAATAATAATTTTGTCGCGGAGAACCTAACGGGTTACCGGGGCTCCGGCTCGACGTGCAGGAGGAGGAACGGGGTGGTTTTAGTCAGTAAGAGTCTGACACTCCCTCCTGCCTCACCCAGGCGAGAGGAGTCATTCGATGGTTTTCCCCCCTTAAAAAAAAGATAATAAATTTGAATAAAGTTTACAACCTAATGCAATAGAAAAATATTGCCCAATTTATAACTGTAATAGGTCATCCGAAACATAACATAACATCACGCCTTTGATTCTCGAAAGGGTAGGCAGAGGTGCACACAGAGGTAACACCCATTTGTCACGATTTACGTTGACTCCCATGTATTACGTGGGTGGTGATCCTATTCCCATATACCGGGTACAATTCCAGACTCCGTACTACTACTGAATTTTTTGAAAACAACCCAGTAATACTTTGCCTGATTCGATTCCCGGGTCGGGCTGCGGTTCAGCGGGTGCTGATTGCTGGGTAAGGACCCAGCCAGCTACATTTGGCCAACGTTCGAATTCGGTTCAATATTCGCACGGGAAAATGCTTACATGATCCACAAATTGTTGTTCCGGGTCTGGGTGTGATGTTTGTATGTTTGTAAACGCACCAACAAAAGATAATCCCAGTGCAACCCAAAGTTTGTTCTAAAAGATTTGTTATTTGTGGGAGAGCCATGCTTCGGCACTAATGGGCCGGGTCGACCGGAGTGATACCACGGCCTCACAGAAAACCGACGTGAAACAACGCTTGCGTTGCATTTCGGTGTATGAGTAAGGTTAATCAGGGCCCAATTACCAAAAGTCTCCAGTCTTCCCGATCCCCGAATCCCCCACAATCCTCAAATTCCCAATTCCAAAAAGCCCGGTAACGCACTTATAACGTCTCAGTTGTCCATGGGCGGTGCCGATTGCTTACTATCAGGGTGCTAACTCTTGATAGGATACCAATCTCAATGTCAATGCAATGGGGATGATGACAGGGTATGAAAATTAAAAATCTAATTAGTCCGTAAGTTAGGTAATTAAAAAATATAGGACACGTATTTTTTTATTTGGTCGTATAATAAAACAATACTTAGATAAAACGAATCAAAGTTTAGGAGTGGGGGCTAAAACGTCATTTCTCAGTATAAAATGTACTGAGAAGTGACGTCACGCGACATTTCAAATCAATATATCTTCGAAACTATTCGTTTCCGTAAGAAAATAAAAAATACGTGTCTAATGTTTTTAAATAATCTACCAGACGGACATTAAAATAAAAATTAGTCGTCTACCCTATTGCAATCCAATTTTAAGGAACAGAGAGTATAGTTCCCTAAGATCGGAAAAGGAGGATCCTCCGACCAGGCGAGGTGATCGTGCCTGGCGGGCTTTCTGCCCAACAGTTGTTCGTTGGGATTTTCTATCCGTGTTAAATCGCTTGTAAACTTTGCATGTGCGATGTAGGATTCTTGTGACGTCATCCGTTGACATGTGGCACGCGTCGCCACATCACTCCCTCCCAAGACCGGAGGTCGATTCCGCTGAGACTGCTGTCGATGCTTGAGATGAGTGGCGCCAGAGCCGAGAGAGAGTGTAGAACGTCCCTAGTTCCAGTGGGTCGGAACCGTGCCGCTGAGTGCCCAGTGAGTCGGGTCAGCGGTGCAGGGTGAAACTCCAGTGAGTCGGAGAGATGAGTTCGCAGTGTCCCACGGTGAGTCGGGGAAGAGATGCTGCGAGGGTAGGTGCGTAGTGGCCGGCATCTGCGTTGACGGGAGGAGGTGTCCTTCAGACCGTGTGCAGAAGTGCTGTGCCTAGACGCTGGTGAGGCCGTAGGGAAGAACCAGGCTGCACAACTTCGTTGCAGGTAATGGTGGTCCCTGATGAGGCCGAGGATGCTGGTTGGCTGCGACTTGATTACCGCTCAGCGGAGAAGTGATGAATGAGAGGGATGGCGATACGGATGACGGTGCTAATCTGCTCCGTGAAGTGAAGGTTGTTTCCAATCACGTCGGGGTCACCACTTTAAGGAACAGAGAGTATAGTTCCCTAAGATCGGAAAAGGAGGATCCTCCGACCAGGCGAGGTGATCGTGCCTGGCGGGCTTTCTGCCCAACAGTTGTTCGTTGGGATTTTCTATCCGTGTTAAATCGCTTGTAAACTTTGCATGTGCGATGTAGGATTCTTGTGACGTCATCCGTTGACATGTGGCACGCGTCGCCACACAATAATTATTCAATGTCAAAACTATACGACCTCTATTGTAGCTGTTTAAATAGGATTCAGAGTATAGAATATAAAACCAAACTCAATACCATTTAGTTCATTCAATATCCACGCAATACGGATGCAATGGGCGCTAGTGTCACAACACAAGAGTACGAAATTTCACAATACCAATGTCGATCGATCGAAATCAGATTCAAGAGTAAGCCACTAGCCCCGAATGATCGTTTACCGGCTTATCCCATGCCACTACCATAAATTAATGTTAACTCTTTACTCCTTGCAGCTGGCCTCTGGAACATGATAACGTTCAACTCAACAGCTCGGCAGACGATATACACCAACCCTCCACTGGACAGGCAGGAATTACAAGAGAGAGTGAAGAAAGAGCATCCTGTTGCTAACCAGTCATGCCTCCTATTACTGACACTGGCGAACCATTGTATGAACGATGATAACTTGTACAGAAACGCTTTGTTATGCTGTGAGGATACGGCGGGTAAGGACTTTTTACTACATTCTTTTTGACGTGACAACGTCTTATAAATTGGTTTGCCGGGTGACACTTCAAGAAACTGCGTTACGCTCCGCTCACGTTATGCGCTCACAATGAGAGCGAGTGAGAGGCACGCGTCCCTTCCACTCGGGCATGGTTAGCCCGCCTAAGAGCGAGAGAGACAGACATAAAAAGTGAAAGGCACGCGTCCCTTCCACTCGAGCACAGTTAGCCCGCCTAAGAGTGAGAGAGACAGAGAGAGAGAGAGAGAGTGAGAGAGATAGAGAGTGAGAGAGATAGGTCGCTTAGGCGCCTGCATACAAGTTTACACGTTGCCAGTTAATTGTAAAACAATATTTTACCACTCAAAGTCGTTGTCACGTCAAACTTTCGCCCGTATACCGACTTTACAGGCAACCAATTTTTTTTATGGAATAGGAGGCAAACGAGCAGACGGATCACGTTTGATATACATATTTAAAATCTGTCAAACACCAAGCGGTCACCGGTGACCGCGACCTATTGTTCTTTAATTGTGTCTATAAAACCGGTACTCGACGAGTTAAGATTGTTGTGGAGAAATTAATTTATATATTATATCAAAATTAAGACATAATATTGCCTACGGTTTTTATCCCCGAAGGGGTGAGGTGCACATTACGGCACTTAATACCACTGTACAATGTAACACCCACTTTTCACTATTTATGTTATAAGTCCCATGTAATAGGGGGTGAGCCTATTGCCATATACCGGGCCAAATTCCAGGATCCGTGCTACCACTGAGGATCTTTTAAAACCCAGTAATTATTTGCCCGATCCGGGAATCGAGCCCGAGACCCCTTGCATGGCAGTCGCACTTGCAACCAGTCGGCCAACGAGGCATTCTTTGGCAGTATTGCAATCTGTTACTGAATTTTATAGCAAACGCAGACGTATCACCTGATGGTAAGCAATCACCACAGCCCATAGACAGCTGGAACACTAGTGTTACAAGTACCTATATAGAGTTACCAGCCTTTTACTATAATAAATCACTATAATACTTTATGGATTTTAAACAAATTTTCAGAAACTTCAGCACCAACACCACAACGGGAATCGAACGGTGGATCACAGGTGACACCGCCGAGAATCGACATGGCCGCTGTAAGTAAATCAATTTAAAAAAATATTTTCGATAATGTGTTTATGTTTTTACCGACTTCAAAAAAAGGAGGAGTTACTATGTTCGGCTGATTGTGTTTTTTTTATTTTATTGTATTGAACAGTCAAAATAATTTATTGTTGATTAAGGATATAATAGATAGATAAGGAGGACCCAATTAGCATGTGCGATGTAAAAATTTTGTGACGTCATTCATCGATGGTCCATGCGCGGGCGCTGTCATTCGAAATATGTCGTGTGTGAAGTTAGCATTAAGGCTGCGTTCTGGGCACTATCCATCGGCGAAGTTTGCTTTTCTTATGGGGAAGGTTGCATCAGCTAATTGCGAATTATGCAATAAAGTAGAGGACGTACAACATTTGCTAATGGAATGTGCCAGGAACAATAATGAAAGGGAATCATTAATAAGAAAATATAAGTTGAATAAATTAGATGTTGGACTAGTTCAAAACATTTTAGCAAATCCTAAATCCAAGATTGCAAAGGGATTGTGTGAACTGGTAAGAGTGACATAACTTTTCTTTTATTTAGGTCATACCTTATTAATGATTCCCTTTCATTTATAGAGTATATTTAATTACATAAGGTACGATGGGGTTGACGTATCCATATGGATAAAAACCCCCTAAAACAATAAAATTAAATAGAATAAAAAAAAAAATGTCGTGTGTGGCCACAATCTAAATAAGTACGCGTGTCCCCAGTTGCACCGCGCGCTGTGCGCCACGGCGGGCTGCGAGCACTGCACGCTACTGCTGTACCTACTGCTGCACTCGTGCGCCGCATACAAGCGACACGTCGCTAATGTAGCCCAGCTCGACTTGCTTGTAAGTATTTCAACACGTACACAACTCATTTCTTTTTGTAATAGATCAAATCAAATCAAATCATTGATCTTATATCTTAAACTCTTATATATACTACATATATACTATTATATAAAGCGGAAGAGTTTGTTTGTTTAAATCAAATCAAATCATTGATCTTATATCTTATACTCTTATACATATATACTATATATTATACTATTATATAAAGCGGAAGAGTTTGTTTGTTTGTTTGAACGCGCTAATCTCCGTAACTACAAGTCTGATTTGAATAATTCTTTTTGTGTTGGATAGCGCATTTATCGAGGATGGCTATAGGTTATAAATCGTCACGCTACGACCTATGGGAGCTGAGCAGAGCGTGTGAAACCGCGCGGAAGTAGCCAGTTTGCTAATATGGGTAAATTAAGTTGTTAGCAGACAAGTAGATACAGTTCCGACCATATATTACACCTTGAGGCATGCAAATTACAAAAATTACAGCATCACAATGTTATTCGGAGAAGAATTGATACATTCAAAATTCAAACTGTCAACACAATCATTGTAATTTAAGTGAATTCAAAATATAACGTCACCAATATAATGGGGATGATGACAGGGTATGAAAATTAAAAATATAATTAGTCCGTAAGTTAGGTAATGAAAAAATATTAGACACGTATTTTTTTATTTTGTCGTATAATAAAACAATACTTAGATAAAACGAATCAAAGTTTAGGAGTGGGGGCTAAAACGTCATTCCTTAGTATAAAATGTACTGAGAAGTGACGTCACGCGACATTTCAAATCAATATATCTTCGAAACTATTCGTTGCTGTGAGAAAATAAAAAATACGTGTCTAATGTTTTTAAATAATCTATCAGACGGACATTAAAATAAAAATTAGTCGTCTACCCCATTAAAAACAAATTTTGATAATACCTACTTACGCGCGGTTGCACCCGCTCTGCTCGGCTCCTATTGGTCGTAGCGTGCTGTTTTGTAGCCTATGACCTTCTTCGATAAATGTACTATCCAACACAAAAAAAAATATTGAAATCGGATTGGTAGTTCCGGAGATTAGCGCGTTCAAACAAACAAACAAAAAAAACAAACTCTTCAGCTTTATATAATAGTGTAAGATAAGATAAGTTTAACAATTATACTACATTCTATCTATTACTTGTTCTTTACTACTGAAGGTAGAAAAATCTATCTATCTTTTATTTTTCCGTCTCGATAAACTTAATGGCAATAGGCAAACTAATCTATGGTTGCCATTATCTGTGGGGGGACGGACGGATAGGTTATCCACAGATCGTTTTTTCTTCTTTGGCAATTATCCACAGATTGCTTTCACTATGAAATTGACAGTTCACTGACAACGACAGTGTGTGGCAACTAAAATATTTTTTTTAGAAGTTGAGTAATGTACTGGTATTGTTACCTCTATTAATAAATACTGACTGCCTCGTTGGCCGAGTGGTAGCAAATGCGACTGCCGGACAAAGGGTCTCGGGTTCGATTCCCAGGTCGGGCAAAGTATTACCGGGTTTAAAAAAATCTCAGTAGTATCACGGAGTCTGGAATTGTGACCGGTATATGGCAATAGGCTCACCCCCTATTACATGGGACTCATAATACGTAATAGTGAAAAGTGGGTGTTACATTGTACAGTGACATAATGTGCACCTCTGCCTACCCCTTCGGGGATAAAAGGCATGATGTTATGTTATGTTATAAAGCTAAATAGTTAGTTTGTTTGTTTGTTTATTTATTTAAACGCACTAATCTCAGGAACTAATATTCCGATTTAAAAAAATCCATTTAAGATGAAAAACATCATGCTAAGCTCAATAGGCGCCGATCTATATAAAAATAAAAAATATTTGTCAGTCATTTCTCTAAGATTAAGATTGATTACTGAAATCTGCTGTTTGTTAATATAGAAATTACCAACACTTACAGATTGTCCCAATCCTGCAAGTGCTGTACAACGCCCCGGAGAACAACAACCACCATATCTATATGTCGCTTATAGTTCTGCTCATACTCACTGAAGATGACGCTCTTATCAAGAATGTGCATTTAATTGTAAGTATTTTTTTTATGGTATAAGCCGGTAAACGAACAGACGGATCACCTGATGGTAAGCAATCGGCGTCGCCCATGGACACCTGGAACACCAGAGGAGTTACAAGTGCGTTACCTTTTGGGGATTAGGAGTTTGAGGATCGTTGGGGATTCAGAGATTGGGGAAGAGGAAGGTAATTGGGCCTCCGGTAACCTCACTCACACGACGAAACACAAGGCAAGCGTTGCTTCACGTCGGTTTTCTATGAGGCCGTGGTATCTCTCCGGTCGAGCCGGCCCATTCGTGCCGAAGCATGGCTCTCCCACACTTGACTACTTGTCAACTACCGTATTAAGGAAAGTACCCAATTCCGCCTCCATTCCGCCACGCCGGCGATCGCGGGAGAATTATTTCACAATTACATGCCTATTGTTTTCTCTATTCACAGATGCTAAAGAACCTAACATGGTACACTGAACGAGCGATCTCTGAGATCTCGCTGGGCGGTCTGATGGTGCTGGTAGTACTGCGGGCGTTACATTACAACATGGTGCGCGTCCGGGACAAGTATCTGCATACCAACTGCCTCGCTGCCATCGCTAATATGAGCTGTACGTACTTACTAAACTTACCCTAATCAGTGGGGTAACTACAGATTACAAGTATGTGTTGCACTCGTCCGTGCGTCACTGCAGGGGTGCCAACTGAAAATCAGTGTTGGGTGCTCATTGTGCCCAGCTTTAGGCTATTGGTGACCGGGCAAGGGGTCTCGGATTCGATTTCCGTGTCGGGCGAAGTATTACTGGGCTTGTATTGTAACTTTCGTGAGACATACTAAATAAATTATTATATTTTCGGCTTACGCGTTGCGGGTCGCGGGTTGCGAAATGCTGCTCATGAATATGAGCCTCTAGCATGGCTTGAAACTAGTCGAGTTCCTCGTCAAATTACTACGTGAGTAAGCCGAAAACATAATAATTTATTACTGGGCTTTTTCAAAAATTCTCAGTAGCACGGAGTCTGGAATTGTGCCCGGTATATGGCAATAGGCTCACCCCCTATTACATGGGACTCATAACATAAATAGTGAAAAGTGGGTGTTACATTGTACAGTGGTATTAAGTGCCGTATTGTGCACGTCTGCCTACACGATGAAACGCGTGATGTTATGTTATGTTTTAATCAAACCTTCGAGAAATATTGTCAGCCGGATCGGTGTCCACTTTAAAAATCTTACTATATTATCTTTATTTATGGTTCTGTGTTTTTATAATACTGACGTCTAAACAAAACACAGGCTATTTGACAATTTATAGTAATCAATACAAAATTGAAGAAAACCTATTTTAACTAAAATCGCGGGTTACACACGTGAATATACTGAGAAAAGCTCTACTAGTTTCGAACCACAGAGGGGTTCTTCCTCATGAGCAGCGTGCGCGGTCGCAGCGACGTCGCGCAGCTCACTGCTTTTCTCAGTATATTCACGTAAAACTAGTAGAGCTTTTCTCAGTATATTCACGCAAGTAACCCGCAATTTTAGTTAATTTAGTATGTCTCACGATAGATATTATATAAACCTATTTTCTTTACATATATAGGAAGTATAGGAACGTTTATCATGTATGTGAAACCTATTTTCTTTACATAAATAGGAACGTTTATCATTTATTTATTAATTTTGCAGGTGAATTCAGGAACCTACATCCATATGTAGCGCAGCGGCTGATATCATTATTCGAAACGTTAACAAAACGAAGAGCTAGGCTCTGCAGCGAAATTGAAGGTGAATATAGTTTTAAAACTACCGATGTAACAAATGATGAAGATGTTACAAATATATTGTACCAATAATTGAAAAAACTATCTCGTTGACGAGTTGTCGCAAGTGCGACTGCCGGGCAAGGGGTTGGGCAAAGTATTACTGGGTTTTAAAAAAATTCTCAGTAGTAGCACGGAGTCTGGAACTGTGCCCGGTATATGGCAATAGGTTCACCCCCTATTACATGGGACTCATAACATAAATAGTGAAAAGTGGGTGTTACATTGTACAGTGGCATAATGTGCACCTCTGCCTACCCCTTCGGGGATAAAAGGCGTGATGTTATGTAATTGAAAAAAGGTTGATTTGTTTGTTTTGTATTCAATAAACATTTTTTTATGGGATAAGCCGGTAAACGAACAGACAGATCACCTGATGGTAAGCAATCGGCGTCGCCCATGTACACCTGGAACACCAGAGGCATTACAAGTGCGTTATCGGTCGTATCGTTTTTTTTTCTTCTCTTATAATATCTTCTGATTCACTTCGTTGCGGGAACCAAGACAGTTACTCATGTCCCTGGGACGCGCCGGACTTCAGTGTTCCGGTGTTTTCATGGTTGTATCTACTGTAGATCCTGGTGCACAGGAGTTGCAGCGGTTTTGGGAGGCTGTGGCGGGCTTGTCACTTAAAAAAAATGCTTTATTGGCCTTTTGGGGATTAGGAATTTGAAGATAGCTGGGAATTCGAGGATTGTGGAGATTGGGGAGGGGTTTCGTTTTTTTCCCGTGGCAAAATGACTTGCTATAAGGAGTACTATCGATGTATAAAGTAAAAACAAAAAACAAACACAATTTATTTAATTAAAAAAAAATTAACATTTATTTTTTCAAAGTCGAAAGTCAAAATCATTTATTTCAATTAGACCAGAAAAGCTGTTTGAATGTCAACGAAAAATTAAAAGTAAAGCTATGTACTCATTCCAAGGTGTAGATTCTTATGGAGAAGAACGAGCAAGAAACTCCATAGGTTACTCTTTTTCAATCATGTTCACAATACAATTCTCTAGTTACATAGAAAAGCTGTTTGAATGTCAACGAAAAATTAAAAGTAAAGCTATGTACTCATTCCAAGGTGTAGATTCTTATGGAGAAGAACGAGCAAGAAACTCCATAGGTTACTCTTTTTCAATCATGTTCACAATACAATTCTCTAGTTACATAGTTTTATTGGTTCGATTGTGTGAGAACAAGTAACACTAAAATCTAAAATCCAGTCAAAGAGATCGAAAATGAACCTTAAGTACAATAAATAATTCAATATAATTTTGTTTTAAACATTTTATTTCTTTACTATTACCAAGACAGAACCATTTTACTTCGGGACGAAAACGAAGTAGATTTAACAGTGTACTAGTATTTAATTTATTTAAAATATGCTAATTGATTTTTCCAGGTGGCGATATTAATAATTTAGAACTTCCACACATTACTGAAGAGAAGACAGAAGAAATTGTACGTATCTCAATTTGTTGTAAAAGAATTTTCATAGTAGGTATAATGACTGTTGTACCGTGGTTCACTGTTCATGTTCCTTCCTGAATTGGGTACTTGCCAACTTTTGACTGCACGGTTGGTGCGGTGGCTGGGCAACCGGCTGCCGTGTAACGTGTCGCGGGTTCGATTCCCGCACGGAACAACACTTTGTGTGATTCACAAATTGTTGTTCCGGGTCTGGGTGTCATGTGCATGTGAATTTGTATGTTTGTAAACGCACCCACGACACAGGAGAAAATCCTAGTGTGGGGCAACGTTTTAAAAAAAAAAAAAGTCAAATTCAACTCAACTGATCGTTTAACCGCCCGCCCGTGTTGCGATAATCAACCGCCACGTTTACGGGCGATAATCGCAACCGGGATAAGCGGGACCACAGAATAATGAGGTCTCGTCAGTTTTGATCATCGGGTACTTGCCAACTAGTCAAATTCAATACTTTTTTCGAACTGTCAATAACGACAGTTTTATATGAATTTTGTACGAGATTGTGTATTGTGACGTCACGTTTTTTTAGCGTCAAACAGCAGACTTATTACTTAAAAATTTGCTGGATCAAAACTAGATTTTTTTAATATTTTATTGTATTCAACAGTCGAATGTAACGTGGTTTTGATAAAGGCAAGTATTGAACCCCCCGTCTGTTCAAAATACTAATGGACGGTTGTCAATAACCACACTTCAGCCATTTCCTAACTAAGAGTTACTTAGTATTAGGGAACAACTTTTTTTTCTTAATGGCGGAAAATCATCGAATGACTTCTCCCGCAGGGTAAGGCAGGAGGGAGTGTCAGACTCTTACTGACTAAAAACCAGCCCGTTCCTACTCATGCACTTCCAGCCGGAGTCCCGGTAACTCGATAAGTCCCCCGCGGCTCCGAATCAGTATCAAGACTAATGGACCCCATCTGTGGTGGTCTGATAAGGAAACAACTTAACTTACACCTTACTTGTATTGTTAGGTGTCACTTATAGGTTGGTGAAAACTAAAGGTCGTTAAGTGTCTCCTATCTAATCTTACGGAGTCAAATTCAAGGCAGGTTATCCGAATTGGATCTACGCGGCTTTCCAGCTCCCATCACACTTCGAAAGTAATCGAGCATCCTCGAACAATTACGTATTCAAGCCATATCTATACATAATACCTTATAATAAAATCGTAGGAAAGTGAAAACTGTACGTCGAATATTTTTTAAAAGAATACTTTGGACGTGATCTACAGTGGATACCGAAACCAAAAATATGGTTTATAGAATTTCTGTCTGTTTGTCTGTATGTATGTCCTGGATGAACTCAAAAAGTACTGCATGGATTTATTTCAAATTTTACATGAATATTACTAACAGGTCAGGTCAACATATAGGCTACATATTATCATGCTATCAACTACGGGGGAGGAGCTGTGAATCATTATTCCACGCGGACGAAATCGCGAGCTCAGCTTTAATGAATATGTCCAATATTCCAGATGGACCACATATCGGTGCTGGACGAGGTGCTCCGCATGTTGCTGGAGATCATCAACTCGTGCGTGTCGCACCAGCTGGCCTCCAACTCCAACGTGGTGTACGCGCTGCTACACAAGCGACATCTATTCACTCAGCATACACACCACCCAGTCGCGCAGAATATTGATATGGTAAGGGTTTGACTACGATTTATTTATTTAAATAGTGGTGCCAGCTTTACCTCGGTGGTTCACAATGTTACCACGATTGTGTCTAAAGATATAACATAACATCACGCCTTTTATCCCCGAAGGGGTAGGTAGAAGTGCATATTAGCTACGGCACTTAATGCCACTGTCCAATGTAACACCCACTTTTCACTATTTATGTTATGAGTCCCATGTAATAGGGGTGAGCCTATTGCCATATACCGGGCACATTTCCAGACTCCGTGATACTACTGAGATTTTTTTAAAACCCAGTAATACTTTGCCCGACCTGGGAATCGAACCCGAGACCCCTTGCCTTGTGTCGCACTTGCGACCACTCGGCCAACGAGGCAGACTTATAGGGTCATAACAGTATGCACAATCCTATTTTTCCCATTCTAGTACATGGGTCTCATAACATAAATAGTGAAATGTGGGAGTTACATTGTACAGTGGCATTAAGTGCCGTAATGTGCACCTTTGCCTACTCCTTCGGGGATATAAAGGTGTAATGTTATGTTATGTTAAAACCCTAATAATAATGCTTATTACATCTGTGACCTGCATATCATATTACCTGTATGTTAGGACTGCATTGATTTATGTACATCATCAATTATCCTTACTTATATTATAAATCGGAAAGTGAGTTTGTGTGTTTGTTTGTTTGTTCCGCTTTCACGACGTAACTACTCAACCGATTGCTTTGAAATTTTGCAGACGTAAAGTTAGAAGTCTGGATTAAATAATAGGGTACTTTTTATCCCGGAAAAAATTGATATACCCGAGGGAAAACAAAAGTATTGGTATAGATGGCGCTACTTTTTATCCTTTATAATCGCGGGTAAAAGCTAGTTCGCTATAAATAATCATTATTTGCCCAAATTCAGAGCAGATTTAGTCTAAACTCAAGTGCTGATATAATCGTGTTCTACGGATCTAGCCCAACTTGTTGGTTTTCAGTCCAAATTCCTGATCTAGAATTCTAGACCGGGTCGACATAGCCTTTCACTAGGGCAACCGCGCGACTGTGAGTGTCAGTCTAGGACGTTAAAGTGTGTATAATTATAACTTTTTATAGAAATAAACTCTTGCGACTCAGACGTGGTTTTTCCTCTAACTGCCCAGTCGCTCAGAATAACTGTACGCATCCGCGGGCAGGAGTTAGTCTATATATATATAATATAAAAGAATAATATAAAAGAAAGTCGTGTTAGTTACACCACTTATAACTCAAGAACGGCAGAATAGATTTGGCTGAAAATTGGTAGGGAGGTAGCTTAGAGCCAGGAGACCGACATAGGATACTTTTTAACCAAAATTTTTTTTTACTTTTTAACGAAAATCACGAACGGGGACGGGAAAAAATGGGATTACGCGTACGAAGTCGCGGGCAGAAGCTAGTTTTAAATAAAAGGCACGACTTATGCCTGAATACTGAAACGTTACTCAATTTTAAGTCGTGCTTAAGTATAGTTATATCTTTACAAATTCTTTGTTAAATGACAGAGATGGGTTGAGAACGTTTCAGTATTCCAGCATTAATGTCTGTATGTTTTTTTTAAATTCCAGGTCATAGGCTATTTTTCAACGCGTTTGCAGCGCGTCCAAGAGGGCGCTGGCGGTGATCTAGGCGTCAACGAAGTGTTGCAGTGTATCAAAAAGGGAGCCGAGCAGTGGTCTAGTGATAGGTTAAAGGTAAGATTTGATATTGATTTTGTCATATTATCTTGGTTAACTGTTAAGTTACAAAATGGTTACTATACTCGGAATTTTAATTCGATTCCAGATTTGACAATTTCAGTGTTGCAACGTTATGACAAGTACTAAATAGTGACGTTGCGAAATTATTCGATATGGAAATGCAATATTTCTGGATCGATTCTTCTCGTTTATAATTTTATTCTCGTAAACTAAGTATATCAGGAAATTAAATTTTTTTGAACCGATAATTTATTTATAAGATAAAGCTAGAATGACAAAACTTCAGTCCCGCATGGTACAATTCTTCAAATAGTATAGTTTTAACCTTAAATATGATGTGCATGTATAATTATGTTTTTGTAAACGCACCCCACAAGGCAGCAACAAGTCATATTTTTTTTTTGGTTTTTAGAAACGTTGCCCCACACTAGAATTTTCTCCTGTGTCGTGGGTGCATTTACAAACATACAAGTTCACATACACAATGACACCCAGACACGGAACAACAATTTGTGGATCACACAAAGAGTTCCGTGCGTGAATCGAACTCGCTACACGTTGGGCGGCAGCCAGTTGCCCAACCAAGGTGCAGTCGAAAAAAATAACATCATTCCCAATGATATTATAAAGAAGATACGCTACGTTCATACTAAGCGGCGTCCAAAAATTGTTGCGTTCTTATTACAAATGTACTTAAATGTCATTTTCAACTACGTGCGACAGATAATACGGAAAGTATGGTACAGAAAGAGATAGCTATTTACAAATTACGACAATTGTCTGAATTCGTTCGCAACAATTTTTGCGTGCCAGTGCGATATCTACCTCTTTTTATTATTTATAATATCATTGATCATTCCAATGTTTCCACAGAAATTCCCCGACCTAAAATTCCGCTACGTTGAAGAGGAAAGACCAGAAGAATTCTTCACTCCTTACGTTTGGAGCCTCGTCAACTCGTGTGGCGGAGTGTACTGGGCGAGCGAGGGAGGAGCGAGGGCTTTAGGAGACCTCCTCGCTTGCTGATCATCACTCAGGTGTAATTTCGTGGATATTATGATCAGAACTCTAATGTGCCGATGGTACTACGAATTGTAGTTTAAATTTTGTTTTAATTCCCAATAATGGAGGTTCTTTAGCTTTGATATTTGTTTTTTGTGTACTGTACTGTACAGAGGGCTTACTCTTGAATCCAATTCCGATCGATTGACATTGGTATTGTAAAATTTTATACTATTGAGTTGCAACACTAGCGCCCATTACATCCGTTGTATGGATATTGAATGAAGTAAATGGTATTGAGTTTGGTTTTATATCCCGTACTCTGAATGCTATTTTAACAGCTACGATTGTGGTTGTATAGTGTTGTCATTGAATAATTATTGAGATGTTATTGTATTGAAATTGCATTGACATTGAGATTGGTTTCAAGATTAAGCACCCGGGCCTTTGTTTATTAGTGAATGTCTTTTAGTTAGTGGTTGGTTTATAGAAAAATGTGTAATAAAGTTCAAACTAATAGATGAATCACCTGATGGTAAGCAATCAATGCATTGCATGGATATCTACAATATCAGAAGAATTGCTGATATTATAAGTAGGAATGAGCTATAGCTGTTTTAAAGGTCGTATCCGTTCAGAAGCACTGCCGGTGATAGGACATTAATGCGATACTTTCGTTTCCCTATTACATGGGCTTCAGAACTGATAAAAAGTTGACATTATGTAGTCCATCAGTGGCTAACCAGTCAATTGCGACTATTAGTCCAGGCGACGTTGGCAATTAAAAAAAAATTAAATACATTGTACAATGATATTACCAATTGCAATAATATGGCGTGGTTTTATGTTTTCCCTCATAATAAAATAAAAATATTACATCATTGTTTACGAATTATGCTGTTCCATTTAAGATTTTAAGTAGTCAGGGAAAAATTTATCTTGGATCTAAACAAGTTGTCCATCCCTGCTGTAGTCTATCTCTCATGCGACCAAATAAAGTACAAAATTAATAATTATGTTCAACAACTTACTTGGAAGTTACGTAACTGTTTGACAAGGTAACTTGATCAGTTTCAAGCAACGCTAGGGGCTCCCCGGGGTGGCTCCCCGTCCGACCAGAAACAGACCCGAGCGTACGGCGCGTCGCGTTCCGCGCGCGCCTCAAAGAGCTCTCAGACCACCACAGATGGGGCCCAACAGGGCCGATGCCGATTCGGAGTCGCGGAGAACCTAACGGGTAACCGGGGCTCCGGCTCGACGTGCAGGAGAAGGAACGGGGTGGTTTTTGGTCAGTAAGAGTCTGATACTCCCTTCCGCCTCACCCAGGCGGGAGCAGTCATTCGATGATTTTCCACTCTTAAAAAAAAGGGACTCATATTCATGAGCAGCATTCCGCGACCCGCGACGCGGCGACTGTCGCTGCTACGGCTCGGCTCTGCCGCGGTGCGGGCTCAAACTAGTCGAGTTTATCGTCAAACAGTTACGTGAGTAAGTCGACAACATAGTAATTAATTTACTATGTATTGGCTTATCTTTTTGAGGTAGACACAGACTTGATATTGTCTTGTTTCAAGTTCTTAAATTTTTTTCTCTAACCGGCTACTTATGGAAAGGTTTTCACTTATAAATATAGACCGTTTCATCTAAAGGCATGTCTATAATGTCAATGTATACAAATACAATATTCTATAGTAATTACTATTATACTATTTTTTAATTCTACATTTGGTATTTTTCTTGTCATGTCATCACATATATGTTGCAAAATAAACGATTATTTAAATATAATCAATGTTTTAAGTAATGAAAATTGTACCAGCTTTGTTTTAATGGATTGAATGCCGTTATATGCACCTCTGCCTACCCCTTCAGAATAAAATGCGTGATGATATTTATTATTTTATTATTTCAACGGATTATAAATGTATTCTTATTGTAATATATAATAGTAATATTGTAATCTTATATTTAATATAAAATGAAATTGAGTTTTGTTTGTAACACGTTAACGCCTAAACGGCTGAACCGATTTTGATGAAATATGATGTAATGATTAGATTGGATTTTGGACTTGGATATAATCGAAATTATAGTGTAAGATGTGATGGAAGTCACGGGCAAAAGCTAGTATAATAACACATAATGTGTCTGATATATTTGACAAATACTAAAACTATATTATCTATACTTGGTACTACTTATTTATATGTAGTTGTTTGTAAAAGAAAATATAAAATTATTGTCAATTTTCTACTTGAATGAGTCTTACTAATGAAAGGACGTAAGAGAGCTTAAGTTCTATTTTCGGGTTGGAAAAAGAATTTCAAAATTCTCAGTACCAGCCTCAGGCTCTGAAAGGGTAGATGACTATTTTTTATATTAATGTCCGTCTGGTAGATTATTCAAATACATTAGACACGTATTTTTATTTTTTTACGGAATCGAATAGTTTCGAAGATGTATTGATTTGAAATGTCGCGTGACGTCACTTCTATGTACATTTTATACGTAGAAATGACGTTTTAGCCCCCACTCCTAAACTTTGATTCGTTATATCGATCGTTGTATTGTCTGATGTTTTAAACAGACGGACATTTAAATAAAAATTAGCAGTAGCCCCTATTGGGTTGCAGTAATCTTGATCATTAATTAAAATTAAACTTTGATAAATGTATTTTCAAAAGGTAAAATCTTGTTAAACTAATTTGATAATCTTGTTTGTCTAAAATATACATAAATTAATGAAGTACTGTTATTATTATAGTTAATTTCTTTAATTTAAATTCAAAATAAACTTGTACGTATGATAATTCACTTCATTTATTAGTTTCCATTATTTATTAATCTTTAGTTTAATTTCCTACTTCCTATACAATATTTACTTTAATACTTGTACTGTACATAGACATTAAAAATGTACAATAATGGACACAATTATATTATTAAAAGTAGATTTCATTACTGTATTTCTTAAGGATCATTCCATATAACACAGAGCCGAAGAATAAAATACAATATAAGACATCAAACTATCCTTTATCACCGCAAAGTAAAGCACATTTTCCTTCTTGAGGTTACATAAATAAGCCCGCATTCGCATTGTCGCGGTTGAGCTATGCTTTGACACGGATGGGCCGGCTCGACCGGAGTGATACCACGGCCGAGCAGAAAACCGGCGTGAAACAACACTTATGTTGTATTTCGTCGTGTGCGTGAGGTTTCTGATAGAGACCTAATTCTCATTTCACGAAATGCTGGCAACACACTTGTAACACGTCCGGTGTTGCGGGCGGCACTGATTGCTTAGCATCAAGTGATCCGTCTTTACGTTTGCCCCTCTTTGATCCTATAAAAACAGTGATATTTCAGATTTTCAGACTTCATCTCTGTGCTATATTTATATGAATTGATCCTAAAATAAACGATAGATTGTATGAAACGCAATATAGGGTAATGAACAATAAATAAATAAAACTGATATTTAATTGTTTTGTGTTTTATTTTTGTTGATCCTTCCTTTATTTATGACATAAGTACTTCTGTTACCGGTTTGCATTTTACAGAACTTTATTTTACATACATATTAACTAAAGATTCAATATCTTACTAGCCTGCTAACAAATGCCATTATTATTAAGTATCCAATAATACCTGTACCTAGTTAAGAAACCAACAGTAATCAGATAAATCACAATCCCTGCTTACCTAGTCAAATCTGATAGAAAAAAATTACCAAGACTCTTATTTTTCTCAAGCTGCTGTTTTTTATAGATCGTAATGACTTTGCACTAAAATATATTAGGTAAGGGTAAATAAATACATTGACGACAAAACACAATGAAACAATATCAAAATGACTATTTTTCTTAATCTTTATTTTGTATGAAGGGGTTTTTTTCCTAAGAGAAAAACGTCAGCACTATTATCGAATACAAAATTCAGTACATACTAAAATAAAGCAGCTAAACCGTTAATAGGTTTAACTAGCCCAAGCTTACACATATAATAATTAAATGATACAATTTTGTAGCCTCAGATGACAAAGGTGGGTGACGCTAAATCACTGATAAAAACCAATAGGTATTGAAGCTCTTAAAACTAAAGACTTGATAGTCTTGATACCTCTGAGACTCAATACGTCGACACTCATACAAAATGTGTTGTACGTCCTCTACAACATCACACTCAACACAATTGGGTGATTCGATTTTATGAATCATGAATCTGAAACTATTCATGGTCCAGATCAGAGACTTAAAGCCGTGACCATTTCTCCTATCTACTCATCCCACCTTCAGCGAACCAGAGATCACGAGGAAGCGTCGGTTGTATTGTTTTATATCAAATGCAAAGAATGACTATATGTAATTTTAACACGATTTTAACAATAACAAAACACTCCCGTCGGACTTTGACATGCTAATATTTAAATTTCCCGCCACTAGTTCCAGCGTCATAGACAATAAAACAACATCACTTGCCGACTACGCATGCGAATTTATTAAAATTAATATTTTCCTTGTATTCGTCCTTCAGATGATACACCTTGAATTTTTTATAAATACAATATTTGTGTCGTATTTCCTAACATTCGTGTTATATTATAAAAACGTGCAAAATATGAAAAAGTATAGACAACATTTTTACTTCCTTCCGATTTGAAATCAAGTCAAAATCAATCGCAAAGACAAGAATGTGTTGGTGTTGTGTATGTGCGTAAACAAGACATAGTTTGCGAAAAAAATAAAAATATTTTCGCAAAGTTTTCATTACAAAGAGTTTCAACTTCTGTAAATCGGTTTGTGCATCAAATAGTTGTTTCCAAAAAATAAGAAGTGCGTGAAATACCTCGTTGCAAGTTTTTTGGTAAGTAAAAATCATGTTTTTGCTAATTATGTCGGATTTTATTCATTATAATTCGTATAGTTTTGTTTTTACTGCGTAATTATTGTATTTTGCGTGTCTTCAGTATGTTTTGTTAGTTCTATATTTATTATTTGGCATTTATCTGTGTCGCACAAATT